AGGTGGATCTCTGTGAGTTCAAAGCCAGCCTGGTCTACATAGTGAGTTCCAGGCCAGCTGGGGCTAAAGGGAAAAAAAACAAGGTGGATGGGTCCAGAGGAATAACACTGAAGGCTGAGCTCTGGCCTCCACATGTGTACACGTACACACACACACACACACACACACACACACACACACACAGTGCAATGTAAAAAAGTGACAGAAAAAGGATGAAAAGAAGGAAGAAGGGAAGGAATGAAAAAGAAGGAAGAGAAAGGGGATCAGAAACCAAGGCTCTAGCTGGGTGTGTGGTAAACACCTGCAATCAGGTTCTTAAGAAGAGGTAAGAAGATTAGGAATTCAAGGTCATCCATGGCAGCCTGGGCTACAAGAGACTTTAAAAAACACAACATACAGCCGGGCGTGGTGGTGCATGCCTTTAATCCCAGCACTCGGGATGCAGAGGCAGGCGGATCTCTTTGAGTTCAAGGCTACCTGTGTCAAAAAGACCAAAAAAAAAAAAAAAACAAAAAAAAAACAAACCCACACACAAAACAAATGAAAGCAAATAACAAAAACAACAAACCTACCCCTCTCACCACTAGCAACAAGATGAAGAACTTCAAGAAATCTGTTACAGAGACTGAATATATACTTTTAGTTGGTTGTTGAAATTTTCCTTACCTCACATTCAGTTTTCTTTTCATATTTGACTAGCCAATTGTCATTTCCTCTGTCTTTCAAAAGAAATAAAAGTCCATTAGTTGTTTTGTATGGAGAGTTCAATTTCATACCAAGTATAAATCTAATCACCTCATAATTTTTGAAATTTTCATTGATAGTATAATTTATCACAGAAAAGTTCCAATTTAACACAGACTTTAAAAAACCTCCTAAATGTGAGCTAACATTTACTGAACAGAAATCTCTGTGCCAGGCATAGTTCTGAGTGTTTCAGGTGTATTAACTGATTTAACGCTCTCCCTGAGAAGTAGGGACAATGTTAGATAAAGGTTATTAAAATGCTTCCTTCTCTTCACTGGAGGAAGAAAGCACTGACCCCTGTTGCTAGGCACATTTCCAAGTAGCCTCACCCAAGGTCAACACCGAAGCACTCCAGACCAGCTTTATTATTAACCTAACACCATATTAACTTGCAAAGTCAACTGAGAAAATTATATGATGCTTTTCAGAAGCTAATATAAGTTATGAAAAAATACTTAGACTAGTAGTTCTCAAACTCTAGAGTGTATCAGAATCTCTAGGAGGCCTCATGAAACACAAGCCTGGTCCCAAACTTGCAGAGTTTCTCCATTTATAGGTGTACGGTGGTGGCTGAGCTGTCTTTTGAACAGGTTCTCATGAAATGCTGACCCCAAGAGTATGAGGAACCACAGCTCTGGGCTGTGTACACATCATCGCTCCCTTACAGCACAGCAGAAATGAAAAGCTTAATGTATTATAAATTGTACTGACAGTTATGCATATCAAAATAAGGATCTAAAATAACACATTTAGGCTTGGATTTTTCATGTTATGAGGATAATATTTCTAGTCTCTAGCTGTGTCCTGCTCTTAGCAATCCTACCCTAGGGGACAGGGAGTGCTCCCTATGGCCTGGTAGGAGCCTGCTATGAGTCAGGTCCTCAGCACAGGATTAACTCTGCCCAGCAGAGTCATTATTACATCTGTTTCCCCAAACCCAAAGAGGAAGTGACCTTGGAATTTTTGCATCATTTTATGGGTTTGATTTCAATAATAAGAATCGAGTTTGACAACTAACAAGATTGAATAGATGAGAGAACTTCAATACCTGTATTTCTGATGATGTAATCCAAAATAACTAATCTTTCAAATTGTGACTGAAACTGTTTTCTAATATTTTCAGGCAAAGGTTCAGCTTCAAATTTCCTAAGCCAATATTCAGCCTCCTTGTAACCTTCAACAAATAACTGAAAGGAACCGATCTATAATTTTAAGAACTACAGTTAGAAAACAAAGTACAAGCATGAAAGCATTTTTTTTAAAAATTTTTTCAGGAGTATTATCACAGGATGCTACATAAATACAGTAAGAAAAATAGAAATTACTAATTTAGATAAGCCACACTTAATGTTATTTAACATATTAACTTAATCACAAGAACATACAGCAAATTTTAAAAAGGCTCAATTCTAGACTTTTAGGAGCTATTTTCAGATAATCGGAAAAGAGAGCACACATACGCTCTCAAGGTGACACTCCTACGAATGCTGCTTTCTAAAAATATGCATCAAAATAAATTTAATTGAGGAGGCCAAACGTATACTTTCCTTGGTTATTTCATAATAGTACAAGTTTATCTCGCTGAAGCAACACTGCAGTATTCTTTTTATACCATCAAATACAGAAAAATGATTTTTAAAAATGCAATGGATTCTTCAGGCAGATCAAAGACCATGTCATAAATATTAAAGAATCAGCTGACCACAGCTGTGGTCACAGTGGCTTCAAAGAGCCTTCCTTGACGACATGCCCATTTTAAAATGCATTTTTGGCCAGATGTGGTGGTATATGCCTTTAATCCCAGCACTCAGGAGGCAGAGGCAGGCACATCTTTGTAAGTTCAAGGCCAGTCTTGTCTACATAGTAAATTCCAGGCCAGTTAGGGTTACAAAAAGATCCTGCCTCAAAAAAAAAAAAAAAAAAATAGCATTTTTATTATTAAAATTACTAGTTAACATTAAATAATTTGATGGCAGAATACAAATTTCACCAGCAGATGACATATAGGTAATGAGTAGTCTATTCTGCCCCAAATGCAAGCAAACAAATCACTATAAAGAAATCTTTTTCTTAGCTCAACACTCTACATGCTTCTTGAAAATTTCAACAATTTCCTAAAGATTTTCTTTAAAGTACTTATAATTAAGGACAAGCAGTCATAAATATGTAAGTTACAGCCTCCTTAAGTAACACTTATTTCAGCATACCCAGGGAAGAATCCTTGGAATATAATTAAAAAGTAAAAAGAAAAGTTGGGTTAATTGTAAATTTCTACTCAAATTCTTTTATCTAGATATCTGCATACCAACAAAATTATCAGTTAAATACAATATTTAAAAATCCTAGAAATTCTAGACTGCTTTTCCCATTAGCCCTCTCCACTTCTTAGCTAGCTGCCAGTCAGCCCACTGAGCCTTACTCGGAGCCAAGCACTTGACATGAACTTCAGTTTATCCCAGTAATCTAAGAGGCAGTCATTTTCATTCCCAGTTTTTTAAAAAACTAAGACTGTATTCTAAGTAGCAGAAAGGCTGGAAATGGAACCTAAGTCTGATTCTAGACCTGTGCTATTCTCAATAATTATAAATCTTCCAAGCAACATCTTGACTCCTAACTCGATTAGGTATGTCTGTCTCTTTCTCTTTTCTAAGGACTGGATCTAGGACTTTGCATATTTTAGGCAAGTGCTCTACTACTAAGCTCTAGTCCTATTCTAGCTAGGCATCCTTTTTCTATGCCCTCGGAGCTCTGTGGATTTATGATCTTCTAAACAGGTTTATCAAAATGTATTGAAATTACTTGTTTACTGTAAACTCCTCAAAGAGGAAAAAGTTTTCTTTTTTATTATATCCAGAGCTTGTAGCAGGATGCCTGCTGCCTAGCTAATGCCTAGTCCTAGTCCCAGGAGCTCAGGATATAAAGGTCCAATTGCCTTGCAGGAAAATATTAGAGTAACTTACCTTGGGAGGAAGTCCTATCCGATGAAACTTTCTACCTACTTTTGGAACTTTCTCTAAGGCATACTTTTTGCCTTTCGACTTTGCACGGTCAATTGCACTGTAGTTAAATGTCTCACTGACAAGCCAAACCACCTAGAAACAGAGGTTTGAAAAATGATTAGAGTTTGTTCCAGTTTCCTTTCTCATGCTGTGATAAAACACTGAAAAAAACAACTTGGTGAAGAAAGGTTTTTTTTTGTTTTTTTTTCAGCTTGCAGTTCATCAGAAACTGAAGCCTAGACCATGGAAGAAAGATGCTTACTGGCTTGTCCACTTCCCCCTGGCTTGCTCATCTATAGCCCAGGCCCACTTTTCCAGGGATGGCACTGCCCACAGGAGGCTAGGCCCTCATATACCAAATAGTAATCAAGGAAATGCCCCACAGACATGCCCACAGGCCAGTCTGATAGAGAAAATTCCTCAATTGAGGTCCCCTCTTTCCCAAGTGAATATAGTTCCTGTCAAGCTGACAAACACTAATCAGCGCAATGGTATTTCTATTCACATACATCATCAAATTCATTCTAATGCTCTAAACGAGCAAAATCTAACCCTATAACAAGTTCCCAGAGAATCTACAATAGAAAGATCAGGGATTTTAAATGGCACATACTTCTTCCAAAAAAAAAAAAAATGGTATAAAAGCAACTGAAAATTTCCAGTGGAAAAAAACAGTTTTGAAGTATAGAATTAATAATGAACATTTTGAAGAAGGCATCAGGTAAAAATATATAAAGGTCCCAAAGAAGATATGAAGTACTGTGGTACATTAATAATCCTTCTCATCAGCAGGATAATCCTTCTCTGCTTCCTAAATGACAGTCTTTTCCCCCTTCTGTTAGCATCTTACAACTCACAGGAAGAGACATTCCATCAGCTACTGTGTGGATCTACACCAGAGTGCCTCAGACTGCTTAGTAGCTGAGGTTACAGGTATGTACCATGAGACTGGCTCTTCAATACTCAATATAGTACTGGTTGCTTGGGAATCTGGGATTATGACAAAAGGGACTCAACCTCAGACTCCATCATTAGGAGCTACTACTAAAGTGTTCACAGATGAGTGGCCTATAAGCTCCAAGGAAAACTGCAAACAATCTGTCCCTTACCTTTGTTTTTGGAACAATGCCAAGCTGAAGCTTTGTATCCACCAGGTAGGCACCAGCTTCAGAAAGGTATCCCTGATTAGGAAGCAGGCAGCCCCGGCCAAAGCAGCAGGGACAGCACATCTTATGAATGTATTTGGTCCACTTTGGGTTCTGCTGGCCATAAGGCTCTTCTGATTTGGGTTTAAACACACCAATAATATTCTACAGGAGAAAAAAAAAAGGTAGAAATCCTATTAGACTTCTACGAATGGATGACAATCTACAAAATGTACTATAATAAATAAGATTTAGGCATAACTCTCAGGTATTAAGGCTATTAATCCCAATCACATTTTAACAATTATTTTCGTTCAAAAATTTCAAATCAATAATCCTCTGGATCAGTAGTTTTCAAACTTTGCTCTGATAAACCTTACATAGTAAGACAAGGCTTTATGCCATTTAACCAGATTAACTGATTTCACATGCTGTATATTACTGGGCCTTGAAATTAACATACAATTCCATGGGGCTGGAGAGATGGCTCAGCCATTAAGAGCACTGACTGCTCTTGCAGAGAACCCAGGTTCAATTCCCAGCACCCACATGGTGGCTATGAACCATCCTTAACTCCAGTTCCAAGGTGAATCCAATGCCCTCTTCTGACCTCCGTGGCATTGCATGACATGGGTGCATTCACAAACATGCAGGCAATACACTCATACACATAAAATAAAAATAATAAATAAAATATATTTAAAAAACAAAAAAAAAACACCAAAAAACCTATGATTCCACCACACAGGCATGTGTGTGTGTAGTCTTGTTATACTCTTGTCCAGGCTGATCTCAGTTTTAAGACCTCCTGCCTCATACTGCTTAGTACCTGGGACTACAGGTATGTGTCATGAGACCTGGCTCTTCAGATGTATTTATTTATTTATTTATTTATTTATTTATTTATTTATTTATTTTTGGTCTTTTTGAAACAGGGTCTCCCTGTAGCTGGTCTGGAACTCCTCACTAGGTAGACCAGGCTGGCTTTGAATTCACAGAAATCTGCCTGCTTCTGCCTCCCAAGTGCTGGGATTAAAGGCATGCACCACCATGCTTGGCCTTGACTCTTCAGATTTTTAAATGTTTGAAAACTGCCACTTTATGTGAGGCAGTGCTATAACTCAGCATCTATTAAGGAGTCAAAGTATAAGCTGTCCACTTTCCCTACAATTCTAAAGAGGCAAGGACTCCATTAGAACTGCATCTCTACTACTAAGAACAGTGTCGGATACATAGTAGGCAACCAAGTAATTGTTAAAAACACGAATAAATCCAGTAACAAAAAATAATTCTCTAAAGAAAGTAACCTAATAAAATAAACTGAACATCTATGTCATCAGCACTGCTTTTCCAGTTATGTTTTTCATAAAACCAATTTTATTTATTTATTTATTTAATTCTTATTTTTTTAATAACTGGCTTAGAACTTGCTATGTTGACTAGGCTGGCCTCAAACTCACAGATATCCCCCTGCTTCTGCCTCCTGAGAGTTGAGAATAAAGGCATGTACCCTCCCAACCCCCCGCACCCCCCACATATGAACCAATTTTAAAATATTTATCATTTTTATTTTATGTGTAGGCGTGTATTGCCTGCATGTAGGTATGTGCACCTGTGTCGTGCAATGCCCATGGAGGACAGAAGAGGCCGTTGGATCCCCTGGAACTGGAGTTACGGACAGTTGTTAGCTGCCATGTGGGTGCTGGGATTCGAACCCAGGTTTTCTGCAAGACCAACCAGTGTTCTTAACCGCTGAGCCATCTCTCCAGCCCATGAACCAATTTTAAATAAACTCCCCATAAGAAAAAAAATTTGGCCATGGGTGGTAATACATACCCATAACCCTAGCACTTGGGAAGCTAAGGCTGGAGGCTAGTGAGTTGTAGGCCAGCCTGAGCCATATGGCAACTCCTGTTATAAAGGACAAAAGAAAAAATATTCATAGATGTGTCTTAGTACTAATATAATAAATGTCTTAATTATCTTACACAAGAAATAATTTAATTTTAAATATATATATTTTTTAATTTTTTATTTATTATTTTTATTTTATGTGTATGAGCATACTGCCTGCATGTATGTAAGTGCACTCATGTTGTGCAATGCCCATGGAGGTCAGAAGAGGGTGTCAGATCCCCTGGAGCTGGAGTTAAGGTCAGCTGTTAGCCACCATGCAGGTGCTAGGAATCGAACCTAGGTCCTCTGCAAGAACAGCCAGTGCTCTTAACCATTGAGCCATCTCTCCAACACCAATTTCTTTATAATGCAATAAACTCTGAATAATTAACTTAAAAAGCAACAAGAGGGCTGGAGAGATGGCTCAGCAGTTAAGAGCACTGGTTGTTCTTGAAGAAGACCCGTGTTCAAATCCCAGCACCCACATGGCAGTAACAACTGTCCGTAACTCCAGTTCCAGGAGATCTGACAGCCTCTTCTGTGCTCCGCGGGCATTGCATAACATGGGTGCACTTACCTACATGCAGGCGATATACGCATACACATAAAATAAAAATAATAAATAAAAATAAAAATAAAATTAAAAAAAAAAAGCAACAAGAACAAATTAAGGAATCAAGCTTGGAAGCCAGGCATGATGGCTTATACCTATAATCCCAGCACTTGGAAGGCTGAAGCAAGAGGATTACTACAAATCTGAGTCTAGCCTGAGTTACACAGTGAGTTCCAGGCCAGCCTGGGCAACAGAGTAAGACTCATATCTCAAAAATCAAAATACCAAAAACCAAAACAAAGAAAAAAACCTGAATAAATACTGATGTTACAAATGACAACATATTCTATTTTTTAAGAAATGGGGGTTGGAGCTGGATATAGTTTAGTTGGCAGAGTGCTTGTCTGGTATGCATAAAGCCCTAGGTTCCATCTCCAGCACCACATAAAACTGGATAGCACATACCTGTAATCCCAGTGTTTGGGAGGTTAAAGGCAGGAGAATCAGGAGTTCAACAGCTGGGGACACCTGAGACCAGGTTAAAAAAAAAAAAGGGAAGAAAGTTAGGGGAGAAGGGGAGAAGCAATTTGGGTCTCACTATGCTATGTTTAGAAGGTGTCGGTCTTAAGCAATTCATTCTCCTGCCTCAGCCTCCTTGGTGGCTGGAACTACAGGTATATAAGCTTATACCAGGGTATTTACAAATGTATTTAAATTTAAAAAAACTCACAAAACTATTCTTTAAAATCACTTTTAAACTATAACTTTAATTTTGAAAACAAAAATGATAAACTTTCTCCCCCATCAAAAAAGAACTGATGGTTACATATTACAGAGAACGATGGCACCAATTTTTGAAAAATTCTGGACTAAGTGGAAGAAAGTACATGTCAACTGCTGTTGGTGCTGGAATCACAACTCATCTCACTTTGCTGAACTGCAATACCTTCAAGCTTCAAACTGCCCAGCCTCCTTTCTTTGGTGTAAAGCTAGAAAAAAATATTTCTAGGGCAAAATATACCTTTGAAACAAATTAAGCATTTGGAAATGACATTAGGCAGTTTTGAAAGTTTTAACTTCCATTGTACTTGGTTGGTAAAAAGACTGTAGAGGAAGGGCTAGGACTATATGCATAACAAACCTACAAGTAAATATAGGCATAAAATAAATGCGTGAAACCTAACAAAGTATCAGAATGAATGACAAGCTTACTGGAAATGACCAGCTCCATTTCTATATAGTAGAGTAAAACAAAACAAAACAAACAAAACAAAAAACCAAACCACTAACTTATTCTTGGAAAAAGGGGTACAAATAGATTTAATAAGAAAATACCTTCAGAAACTCAGCCATTTCACATTTAAATTAGTATCTTCCAAAATATCTGTAATACATGGTACATCTGAAATTCTCACCCTTTTAGAATCCTTCACAAAGTAACTTCCACTTGACCCTTGAGAGATTCTTTCTGGGAAAACTCCAATTTCTACTGCTTGCTCTGCTCTCAATACAATATCAGCAAATTCTGGATCATCCAAGAAAGGATTCATCTCTGAAATCACAGTAATTACTGCATTATGAAGAGCAGCTGTGAGGGGGTGCACACTATGAACCCAAATGTGTGAATTAAGACAGTAAGGTACAGAAAAATGAAATCAAACATCAGAGAGACTACTTTGGTCCTCTGGGCTGACCCCCACCCCACTCTCACTTTGTGTGTGCCTCACACATGTATGCTTGAATGGAATGCATGGTGGTCAAAGGTCAGCTTTGACTGGTGCTCCTCAGGAACAGCCCACTTTTTTTTTTGTAAACATTTAGTGTATGTGTGTGTGTGCATGTATGTGCACGTGCACACACACAGATGTCAGAGGACAACTTATGGGAGTTTGTTTGCTCTTTCCACTATGTGGATCCTGGGGATCAAACTCAGGTGGTCAAGCTTGGTAGCAAGTACTCTTACCCTTCTAAATCATCTCACGAGCCCTGATTTTTTTGGGAGGGGCAGGGTCTCTCACTGGGATCTGGGGTTCACCAATTAGCCTAGGCTGGATAGCCAGAGAGTCCCAGAAATCTGCCTGTCTCTGCCTCTACAGCACTAGTATTACGAGTGCACTTACATGGTCTCCTCCTCCAGTTCTCTACACCTCTCCCACCGTCTTCAGATGATCCAGCTTCCTGTTTCATGAAGAAACAACCAGCCTTCAACCCATCTACTGACTCCAGTTCATGCTCCCCTTCCCTCCTTTCTCAGCACTCATCACTCCCACCATCGAAAACCTGGACTTCTGCCTCAACCCCCATTATGGTACTCAGCATCTCTTCTTCTATGCTAACACAGTTCAGGCTTTACTACCCCAAACTCACTCCCTCACCACCACCTCTCCCAAACACAATGCCATTCTTTCCTACTCCAGCTGTTTCCAACTCAGAATCTACCAGTTGCTTAGCCCCAAAACCTTGGACTCATCCATGATCTCGTACTCTCACTCTGCACACCTGAACGATCAACAAGTCCTAAGTATCCAGAACCCAAATTCTTATTGCCTCCATTCCTCCCATGTAATCCAGGTTTCTAGCAACTCTTGTCTAAATCACAAATCAATTCACAATCACATCACACCTTTGTACCAAATAGCTCTAGGGTTTACCATGTCTCTCTAAGCAGGAGGCCAAGTCCTTATGGCCTCTACACCCCCTTACCCAATTGCTGCTAATCTCCATTTGAGATCTGAGCTTATCACCTAAAAACTACATAGTTTATATACTGAACTCTGAGCAGACAAGGATTTCTTTAGTATATTCTCGGAACTTACACAATTCCCGGAATATTACAAGCACTCAATAATCACTTGTTGAATAAATTAATAATGAATCATTTAAAATGGAAGAAAAGCCAAAAGCTATTTCCATTTTAATTTGGAAGTTACTTCAATTCTATATGGACATGATGGTGAAAATTCAAAACATAATCAACTTTTATTACTTCAGACAGAAATAAAGCTGTTATTTTTACTAATTTTTAAAAAGTCTGTGCACGCCTTTAATCCCACCACTTGGGAGGCAAAGGCACTCGATCTCTGTGAGTTCAAGGCCAGCCTGGTCTACATAATGAGTTCCAGGCCAGCTGGGGCTACAGGGAGACTGTGGGGGGGGGGGGAGTCTGTGCTAAGAAAAATACTACAAAAAGGGATATTTTATCTACTCAAAAGAAGAAGTAGTCCAAGTACTTTAGTCATGTACCTCGAAAATCCTTAAGAATGAAGAAACTGCCCTTGTTGATTTTGAAGAAGGGCCAGTATTTGGTAGGCATTTATAGTTATTTGAATAACACAGGCACCAGTAATCATTATCTTTAGTCAAATGATATTTCTTACAGGCCAGGGATTCACAGTTTCTTAACAATGCACCAAGCTTGACGAGTTATTTATTTTAACCCTGTTCCTAGTACTGGGTACCTTCTGATACACATCACCAGCAAGTGATCTTGGGGCCAGTTTGCAAATACTCTCAAAAAGAGACCATTCCTTTTCCTTATTAGTGCTCCTTTTTCTGTGTCTGAAAACAAACTCAAGCCTCTTTTTCCAGAAATGAAGTAAGTTCCCTTTCCTAGACCTGCCAAGGGGAGCATATCCAAAGTCGACACAGCCCATTCTGTGACAGCCCTCCACCCAGATGTTCCTCTAAACCTTCTAAGCCTCCACCTCCTTCCACGTGGAATTGCAGGCTTTTCCACAGCCCAATTTCCTGCCTTAGTATTTCAATGTTCTTCCTTAAAAATAGGATTTCCAAAACCAAGGAAACCATTACAGAACACAGACACTCCAGTCCTGATACTAATTCAAAAAAAAGAGGCCCTGTAACATAGCATTAGCTATTTAGGATCCTGTCTAAACCGCACAACTTAGACACTCCTGTCTCTCCCGTCTTGAACAGTTCTTTGGGATATTACATGCACACGGTTACTATTAAAGGCTACTGTACTGATACACAGAGTACATTTTTTTAGTTCCTCATGGACATTCTTGTTGCTGCCACAGAATCCACAACCATTCTCTGAATATTTAGTAATTCAGCTTCAACCAAAAGCAGATCAATCAAGAGACACTTTCGTACAATAAGCCAGGATGTTCTCAGCCTCTTAATGAGATAGTATCTGCCTCACTGGAAAAAAGGCATTTTTTAATTTTTTTATTTGAAGATGGTCTGGATCAATGTACAAAGATATATATATATATATATATATATACACACACACACACATACACATATATGAAAGTCCCATCTACTGTCAGAGAAAAGGCTACACATCAACTATTCTCAAAGCAACTGGTTTTTAGTAGCTAATTTTTCATTAATTGTGTCATTACTAGCAATTATATTCTACAATTCTCTGGTTACTTAATTGAACACTGGTAATGAACTTAACTTGGGAGGGTACCCATAGACACCACACTGTTCTGTGCCCAATGTGCTATGGATGATTTGAAGGTTTGTTTTGTTGCTGGCATCTGGTTTGAGTTTTAATAGCCAAAGACATGGTTAACTACATTTTCTCTCTTTTTGTTGGGGGGGGCAAGGGGTGCTGGGGATTGAACCTGGAGCCCTGTGGGTACTTAGCAAACACTCTAACACCAAACTACATTCCTGGTCCTTGCCTTTTTTTAAAATTAAAATTATGTTTTAACTTTTAAGGAATAAACTATGTTGTTTTGATTTGTGCCTGTGTCAGGAAATTCTCAAAATTATTTTCTTTCTTAAAAAAAAAGATTTATTTTTAACTATGTGCATATGGGGGAGGGGTGTGCATGTGTTAGTGCAGGTACCTGTGGAGTCCAGAAGAGGGGGGTCAGATCCCCTGGAGCTGGAGTCATGTGCAGTTATGGAAACACTCAATATGGGTGCAGGGAACCAAACTCAGGCCCTCTGCAAGAGCGGTAAGCACTCTTAACCACTAACCCATCTCTCCAGTCTTCAAAAATACTTTCTACAGAGAATCTCAATTTTATCTTTGCAATGTCTTAGCTGCCAAGAGGTAGTGGCCACTGATCACATCTCACCTTCTCTAACAAAATGACATAAGCTCTAGGAAGTTAGTGATAAAGACTAGCATATGGAAGATCCTCAACAAATTTGTCTTAAAAATTAACAAACTATCCCTTTGACCACAGCTAAGGGTTACTATTGACCCTTTGGAAAAGAGTCTGTGAAACTGTTATTACTTTTTATATTATATTAAATATAAATATGCACGGTAACAATGAGTTTTCATTTTAAATAAATCAAAATGAACTCATCCTCCCTGGAGGATCAGAACTATAACTTAATCACCTTTCTTACATCTTCCCTGTCTTCCCCACTAAATATAATACTTTTAGAAACAGTGCTGAGTTTGGTGACTAAACTTGCCTTAGGGGTTCCAATGCTATTTGTCCTTCATATCTCCATCTGGACGCCATTTCCTCTGCTAAATCTTCCCTGGCCCCATATCTAGGACTTGCTCCATGCCCTCCATGCTTTCCCCATCGGAGCATACATATAGCCCATCAGCACTGTGCTAACTGACCATGAGGCATGTCTACTGCTGGTAGACATGCAGCAGTTAAGCATAGGCCTCCATCTGATATAGGTCACTATTCTGCCCTCAAGACTTGCCTTCACAGGCACCCAGTAGGCACTCAAATATTTGATGAATGATGTATTTCTGTAATAAATGGAAAAGAACAGCTGTGCATTTGTTTTGTTTGTAATTCACTATGTAGCCCAGACTGGCCTCAAACTCATGATTGATCCTCCCACCTCAGGCTCCTAGAGCTGGGGTGCAAGAGTGACTGACCATACTCAGCTTGGAACACCTGTATTTTTATTTTAAAGACAGGGTCTCCCTATAGTCTCAACTGGCCTGGATCTCATTATGTAGACCAACCAAGCTAGCCTCAGTGTCATAAAGACCCACCTGCCTCTGCCTTTTGAGAGCTATGATTAAAAGGCATGCACCACCAGGCCCAGGGGAACAGCTGGACTTTAAGCACTGACTGGGGGAAAACCTGTAGCATGTCACTGCTTAGTTTCAAAAGCTCACAAATGCCAACACAAGAAACACGTACTCTTTTAAAGAGATTGTCATCATCTCTAACCTAGATTAAGCAATGCTGTTATCACCAGCTAGTAGAAAATCTACTGTGATAGGCATCAGAAACTCCCCAGAACTAGCCCTATGAAATTTATCACATTACATTGTTCAGCATATGGTCTGTTAGCCAAGAAAATATGTGACATTATCCCTTCAGTTCTGTTTTAGTTCAAATAATCAGTTTGCTTTAACTTTGTGGACATAATTGGGTTTCTGTCACATTAGCTGCTCAGTGACCTTAAAAGTCACGTGCTGGCTCCTGCTATCCTGTGCCGTATGGGTATTTTGTCTACTCTTACTCCAGTATCCGTCTAACTCCACTCATCCTCCTACTCCCACTTTATCTTTCTTCTTACTTTTGGATGACTACAAGGCCATCACCTCTTCTTAGAGATGCTGAAAGCCATGAGGATGGCTTGTGAATACGTGTTTTCTTTTACACTGGTTACTCTGTGAATTCTGTCTTCTAACTGGTAGGCTCTCCAAAGGCTATGTGTTCAAAGTCTATATTAACTAGAACCTTGAAGAAGTCACTTCACCACACCCCCATTTTGCTTCTTTATTAAACCATTTTATTCTAATATTTACTGTTATTTTTAGACAATCTAGTTATGTAACCCTGGCTGGCCTGGTACTAGATAGACCAGGCTAGCCTTGAACTCATGACAGTCTTTCTGCCTCAGCCATCTCAGTGCTGGAATTACAGGTGTGCACCACCACGCCCAGCTCCCCTTGAGAATATAAAAGTAGTATTCACTTCATAAGGTGAGTTTTATTATAAACTACTGCACGTGAAGAGCATGGAACTAGGTCCAATACATATGAGTAGTACACAGGTATTAGCTACATCACCTTTACTACAAGCTGACTCACTAATTAAAATAACTGAACACTGACCTAACAACTAACACTACAGCTTATACTATGTCCAGACTTTGCCAACTACCTTGCTAATATAAAGATAATAAGACACATGATATTCTTTCACTGGTTCAAGTACATAAAGTCCTTGTTTGTATAAAAAAATATAGTTAAGCACCCCAAATGTCAATATTAACCTAAAAGCAAGAATGTCTTAGAACTAAAGGTTGTTTCATGGCATGTGAACAGTAAGGTGGGTTAAGAGGACAAGGGAAGTTAATGGACATATTAAGAAAAGCTAAACTCAAAAAATCTAGTTAAATTATTCAATGATAAACATTTTAGGAGTCTGTTTTAAACACCTTAAGCAGCTTTTATATTTTGAAACTATTTTAAAATCCAATTTAAAAGAAAACTTATGTAATGATTAAAAACAGGAGTTGTTTTAGAACATAGGGCTCATAGCATGATGGACAAAGTTCAGGACATAAAAAGAGAACAAGGTTCAGTCCCAGCTTTACCACTTCCTGGGTATCTGACTGGGCAAACCACCTACTCCTGTAGTTCTAGGAATGGTCAAATCTTTGTAGCTTTACTCATTTTCAACTCTCACAACAAAGATGAGGGTTCATGACAACGAACCTACTGTGAGAACTAATGAAATGTCAAAACCCATCTTAGCAAACTGCCAACTGTAATAAGAAATATCACCACTGGGAAGGCAGCAGTTCAAATAGTCCGTGTGTTTTCTAAATGCCATATTCTTACCCACACGTTGACTTTTTCTAGTCTTCATACTATTTTAAAAAAAAAAAGATCTCATGGGACTGAAGAGACGGCTCAAGGTTTACAAGCACTGGCTGTTCTTGCAGAGGACCTGGGTTCAGTTCCCAGCACAAACATGACTGCTAACAACCATCAGTAACTCCAGTTCCAGGGGATCCCATACTCTATTCTGACCTACTGGGCACTGCACTACACAGGGGCACTTACATACATGCAGGCAATATACTCATACACATAAAATAAAAATCGTATGGGCTGGGGATGTACTACTTAGTGATAGAGTGCTTACCTAACATGTGCAAGGTCCTGGGTTCAATCCCTAGTACCCACAAGTAAATCTCTTTAAAAAAAAAAAAAAAAAATCTTCCTTTCAAACAATCAAGACACTTTGAAGACCTTGGCCCTAATTAAATCTAACTTCATCCAGTAAGTCCGGGCAGAAAAAGGCAAGGTAGCAGCCATATGAATCTTGGCTGCCTCACAGACAGGACTCTATGTAATATATGGCCAAAGTGTCCACAAGCTAGCTAAATCCGGGGTCCATTTGTGAAGATGGAAAACTTTACATTTGTTTGCTTTAACTGTTACTGCAAACACACATTAGCTAATGTCATAACCATAGCAGACATGAGGGCCAGACCCATTTCAGAGACCACTTTCTTTGGATCTCTGATTCATTCTTATTTATGTTTGAATAGAAATTCAGCTAGAATTTGAGTGACTTGTTCTGTCCCAAATCCTTCCAAGGCACATAAACACATTAGTAGTAGCACGCCAAGTAAAAATGAGCAACTCCAGGAAAAGTAAGCAATATTAATAAAAACTTCCGTCCCCTGTGGCTTTTCCGGTCACACCGCATGATAGTCTAGAACAGTGCACACATTACATCTTTAGATCCATCCTAACACCAACAGGTGGGAGCTTTTATAGACAACCCTGTCTGGCCTCCAGCTGGGAGTCCTACCCCATTTCAACAGAGTAAGCTCAACTCCATCACCCAAAACTCACTTCAGAGATCCAGGCCAGGAGGCCGAAATTTTCCTCTCAACATCGTTTACCTCTCTTTTCAAAAGCAGCAATCCACTTCAAAATTTAAAGTGTTTTTCTTTTTAATCGCACCAATACAGAAGTGACTCAAGAAATACAATCTTTGCAAGCGCTGGCTGCAGGATTTCATCTGCCTCTGCCCCCTCTGGCTAAACGTCACAATAGCAACATCTAATAGAAAGTTTTGAAACCTGTCCCGGCGGCAAGGACTATTCTTTCTATGCATTTCCTCGCTTGCCATCCACCTGGCAAACTCACCACTAGGTAGCTCAGAGTTCTGAATTCAGACTCAAGTCCAAACTTAAACAAACAACTTAACGTCACCGTCCCGTGCTAAGTTTTCTTCGGGGTCTGGTACCAACTGGGACTTACTTTGTGGGGTAGCCTACAGGGTCAGAACAGAAAGCCACAGGCGGCCTACAGCAGAGGGAAGGTGAGGGCAGGGCAGCGAGTGCCGGGCGGGAAGGGGATGAGCGCGAAGGCGACCTACGCGGGACCCCAGCCGCGCGGAGCCCGGGACGCACCTGAGTTCCCCACGCGGGTCCGGTGGGGCTCGGTGGACGGACCGGCGGAGGCCCCAGCGTCCCGGGCCGGCATCCGCGACTCTTTTTCGCCCGGCTCGCGGGGCGCGGCCGCTCCCTCGTCCATCTGCAGCCTCACGGCGCTCCCCGGCGCGCCCCTCCGAGTCTGGGCCCAAGCGACGCGCGGTAGCAGCGGCTCCCGCTCCTCGTCCTCTTCCTCCTCTGGGCGGCCGGGATCGTTCGGCTCGGCCATGGACTCCGCGGGTGACCTCTGCCCTTCGGCCGGATCAGAGAGGCCGCCGGGCTCTAGGCTGCGGCCTCAGCATAGCGCCAAGCCCCAGGGGCTCGCACCCGTGCCACCTCACCAGTTCACCAGCCCGCGCTCTCGCCCTGCGCCGGCCCCGCCCTGCCGCGGGCCACGCCCCGCCCCTCGGCCCCCCTCCCGGGGCGCCTGCCTCACGCCTGCGCAGAAGAGCCGGGCCGGGGGCGGGGCCAGTGCGGGGCGGGGCGGGGCGGGGCCAGCCACCTGTAGGGAGGCGCTGGAAGGTGTCCTATGTAGCTGCCATTGTCCCCCTTAAAGTACTGGGATGAGAGCCATTTCCAGAGGTGCGCCCCCTCTAACCTAAGTAGTCCACGGCCTCTGTTACCATACATTATATAGATTATATAGATTTATTTGACTAACATTTTCCACTCGATGGCCATGAAGGCAGGAAGCATCTTTTCAGACATTCTTTTTTTAGATATGTATTTATTTTATATGTCTGAGTGTATTGCCTACATGCAGGTAAGTGCCACTATGTTGTGCAATGCCCACTGGGGTCAGAAGAGGGAGTAGGATCCCCTTGAACTGGAGCTACAAATGGTTGTTAGATGCCATGTTGGTGCTGGGAATGAGTCCAGGTTCTCTGCGAGAGCATCCAGTGCTCTTAATCCCTGCGTCATCTCTCCAGCCCCTTTTTCAGACATTCTTGACCTTGGTAGTTTGTTTTTTTTCCTCCTACTAATCTAGCTAGAGGTTTATCAATGTTTAAAATCTTTTTCAAAACCCATATATTAGCTCAATTTTGTTTTCTAGCCTATTGATTTTTGCCCCTTATTACTCATTTGTTTCACTTCCTTTTCTTTGTCTAGTGTTTTAGTGAATATTACAATACTGATTGAGGACTGGCCTACTTTTAAAATTCATACCTTTAAAGCTATGAGTTGCCCTCTAAGTTTTGCTTTAGCTGCATTCCACTGTTGCTGAGATACAGTGCTTTCATTTTCATTCAGCTGAAAATAGATTCCAATTACTCTTAGGATTTCTTCTTTTTACTTTTTATTTTTCTTTTGCTGTATTAGAGACTGAACCTGGGTTCTCATGCCTGCTAAATAAGTGCTCAACTACTGAGCTACAGCCTCACCCCAAGATTTCTTCTTTGATCTACTTCTTTGAACTGTGTTAATCTCTAAATATTTAAAGACTTTTCCAGATATGGTTATTTCTAGTTTAAGTATGCTGTGGACAACAAAGATGCTCAAATATTGTAGTCTGGTGAAGTGTATTTAAGACTCATTTCATAGTCCCACATGTTATGTAACTGGGTGTGCATTTTTCCATGTGCATTTTTTTTTTTTTTTTTTTGGTCTTTTTGAGACAGGGTCTCCCTGTAGCCTCAGCTGACCTGGAACTCACTATGTAGACCAGGCTGGCCTTGAACGCACAGAGATACATCTGCCTCTGCCTCCAGAGTGCTGGGATCAAAGGCGTGTGCCACCATGCCTGGCTCCGTGTGCATTTTTACATAGAAAATGTATTCTGTAGTTGAGTGGTTTTACAAGTTGATTCCATAAATTGTTTATGCATTGATGATGGTGTTCAGGTGACCCATATGGTTATGGACTACTTTTTCATCTGGTTCTAGGGTTTTGCTTCAACTAGCTTTCATGTCTTCCTAATGACTTGACCTTCTTTTAAAATTATTTACTTTTATATGCATGAATGTTTTGCCTGTATGTATTTAAGTACACCATATGCATATAATGCATGTGGAGGCCAGAAAAGGGTGTCAGATTCCCTGGAACTGGAGTTACAGATGGTTGTTGGATGCCTTATGGGTGCTGGGAACCTAACACGGGTCCTCTGGACAAGCAATAAGCATCCTTAATAATGGAGCCATCTCTCCAGCCCCATCTTTTAATTTTTTTAAAAAATTACATTTATTTATTTTGTGTGTGCGAGCCAGTGTGTGTACCTTATGTGGGTCCTGAGGAATTCAACTCAGGTCATCAGGTTTGATAGCAAGTACTTTTACCCACCAAGCCATCTTGCTGACCCTGATTTGACCACTTTAATAATTATTATGAACTATTTTTTGAATCTCTCTTTGTACTCCTGTCTTGAATTGTATCTTGTCTGATATTAATATGGCCACTTTACCCTTCTTAGGCTTACTGTTTGTCTTAGATAAATCTTTCCCAAACTTTTTTATTCTATGGTGTCTTTATATTTAAATTTTTATGTCTCCTGTAGATAGTCTACATTTGGTTCTTAGTTTTTAAAATTTAGTCTGATAATCTCTATCTCTCAGCTGGAGTTTTTAGTCCATTTATATCTAATGTAATAAAGATATGGGTGTATTTAGATATTTTGAAATTTTTATCCTACTTGTTTCATCCTTTTTTGTTGCTTCTGTTTTTCTTCTTTCCATGGTGTTAATTTAGTATTTCTGACTAGTTCATCTTAACCTTGATATTGATTTTTCTGTTATACTTCTTTATATTTACTTTTAGTAGTTGTTTTAGGGCTGATGATATGTATCCTTAAATTATCTCAATGTATTGAGAGCTTATATTGTACTAGTTGACATAAAATATAAGAACCATACAAAGTGTAGTTCCACCTAATCTGCCATCCTTAATGTTATTATTGCCATGTGCAATAGACCTGCATATTTAAATACAAGGAACACTTCGGCCTTAAACAATCATGCATTTGAAACAAATTAAGAAAATAATGTATTGAATTGTATATTTACTATTTACAGTGTTTTTCATTCCTTCTTTTGGATCTGATTTTCTATCTAGCACCATTTCCCTTCCCAATGAAGAATTTAATAAAATGTATTTACAATGCAGATCTGGGGATAAAGTCTAATCTTTAAAATTTGAGATGACCTGTTTCACCATTATTTTCAAAGGATATTTTCTATAGATAGACAATTATAATCAATGTAGTACCATTCTTATTACTGTGACCAAAATGCTGGCAGAAACATCTTCCAGGAGGAAAGCTAATTTGGGCTCATGGTTTCATAAGTATCAATGTATCATAGCAGGGAAGGCATGGTGGAGCTCACAGCAGAAGAAGTGTTTGGCTGAGGCTCCTCATAGGAGACACAGGAAACAGAGAGAGACCAGGGGCAGAAAACCAGTAGTAGCATCACCCCCATCCAGCATCCCCTCCCCCAAAGGTTCCACAGCCTCTCAAAACAATGCCACCAGCCTAGGAACAAAGCATGAGCCCACGGAGGCATTTCTGTTACTTCCCATACTTATTCAAGTTCAGCTCTAAAAAAACAAACCCCTTGTTCTGTGGCCTTCATTGTTTCTGAGTCCACCAACCCATACAATTTTGACTACGTCATTTTCTTTTTCCTGCACAGTGCTTTGCTTTCCTTTAAGATTTTTATCCCTATCTTTGGTTTTAAACAGCTTGATTGTGGTGTTCGTGGTGTGATTTTCTTTAGTTATCTCCTGTGTGGATTTTGCTGAGCATTTTGAATCTATAGAAATAAAAAAATTCTGTTTTTTTTTTAAATGGGTCAATCTCAGATACTATCTCAAACATTTGTCTGTCCTATTTTCTCTTTTCCTTCTGAAATACTTATTACACATATGTCAGAGTCTTAGATATTGTGCCAAAGGGCAATATGCCCTACCTGTTTACTTTTTAAATAGTTTTTATTTCTTTTCTTCAGATTAGATAACCTCTTCCTCCCACCCCATCTCTCTTTTAAAAAAAAATTTTTATTTAATGTATATGTGTTGGGGTTCTCTGTTATGCAAGTAGAAGTCTCTTCACTTCCGGATAGCTCACGAGCTCGGAAACCATGTGCTGCAGATTCCTTTTCATAGCAGAGTGCCTTCCTGGCATCCTCCCTGACTCTTCTTTTAAAGTGCTCGCCACAAATACATGCCCTCTGGCACAGGAGTTA